GCGCTGCGCCGCAACCGTAGGTGGTACAGTAGGACCGGGATCCACTTTCTGCAGTCGGAAAAAGGCGCGTAAAAAAAAAACAATGTTTTTGCTGAAACAAATTATTGGGTCCCTTGCAGCGGGCACAAATTGCAGTAATGCCGACTAGATCCAACGAGGAGGCCAACGAGGGCGTGGTCATGCGTGGTCGCCGAACCGGTCCGCATTTGTCGTGGCACATCGGGAACATGCGCAGGTGACGCGGGGTGGGAGCTGGGCAGCGAGGTGGGAGGCGATGGCAACGCTCGACAGCGCGTTGCGGCTCCAGGGTGGACGCGTTGCTGGTGGAGCACGTTATCCGACCACACGTCGCAGTGCGGATCACCCTCGCCCGATTTTTAACCCCAATTGCCGTACGCAGGCCAACCACACGAGTCTTCGCTGGTGCCCAAAAGGTGAGACCGCCGCTTCGACCTCGGGAATAGTAGTAGCTTCGAAAGCTAGGCCTGAGGCACGCAGGAGCCACCGGCAGGACACCAAATCGGCAGGATTCCAAAGTTCTGAAGCAATCAGGTTGTAAGCTGGTTGTCGCGAAAAAGGTTTTGTAATTGCATTAAATTGCACGCTTTGCGATGTCTGACATCAATTACAGACAAGAAAATCATTGACCGCACGTGGAACAAGTTTCTCATGCGCATAACCAAGCTTGATGTGGCCTCTCCGGAACCTTGGCTACCCGGGGTGGTTATCAGTGCCAAACACGTGGAGAAGCAAGGTTCGCTCGTGTTGCTTCGCCCGACGAAGCCCGTCCATCGGTAAGCTGAGGCTGTTGGACTGGTGCTTCCTGCGGTTCGAACGGTTGCCGAATGGCGAAGGAATCCCATTGACTCAGGGCTGGCATTGGCGCCCAACAGCTAGTTTCGAAAGCTGATTGTCATGCCCATGTGATTTTATTTGCTTTGCTTTGCCGATGCTGCCCTCGCCGACAGTCTCCTCCCTATCATAGCCTGCGATTGTGAGCGAAATCTTGGCTTCGACACTCAGGGCATGAGAAGGTTAGAAAGATTGGGTGAACAAAAGTATGGAAAATGGCACAGCGCAGTTGTTTTGTGACTTGCGCCTGTAGCTGGCTTGGCTGCCAAGGGCTGCACACAGCACGGCTGCATCGACATGTGCCCATTACTTTTGAATGCGGCTGAGTTGGCACCGCTTCGTTGCTGATACTTGGTTGATGCCGGTGGGAGCCGTTACAGTGCACAAACCAGGGTTTTGTTGTTGCCAATTGTTGTCGCCATGTCCTCTCCTCCCATGCAGCCCAAGCGTCGACACTTGGCAGCATTCGCTACGTTGAGTTTGACGGTTGTCGTGTGGTGCATAGAGCAGTGATTGGTGTTGTCAGGCGTTACTGTCTTCAAAACAGGGGTGCCGGCGAACAACGGTTACCGAAGTAAAATGTTGACAGCACCCAGCTCAGTTGCGTTGGCCGCGGGCTTGGCCACCGCTGTGGCAGCTCCTTTGTTCGTGGCACCTTCGACAGGCCAATTGGAGCTCGGCTTTGCTTGATGTGCATGATGAATTGCTCGTTTGCGGTGGGGCCAGGCACGGCGAAGTGGGCGACCGCCCTCCGTGGCAGCCGGGCAGCCCCTGAAGCCGTGACCCAGGCCGCACCTGGTGCCATGGCCACAGTGGGCACGGCCGGTGCAGTCGTTGCCCTGGCGGCCCTTGGGGCATCTGGTGCCAAAGCCGGCACTCGCAAGCCTCGCATGGTCCAGGTGGGGGAGTCGTTTTGCGCGTCTTGGTGCTGCCTCGAACACTGCCGAGATCTTGTGCCATTGTTACGCCAGTATGCAGGTCGCCCGTCAGTCCGTGGAGACCTTCCAGCAAAACGAGTTAGAGTACCCGGCAGCCTATGAGAAGATCGCGGACGTGAACAACAAGGCTCCTGCACAACGAGCATGCGGTGGTGAATTGTGTGGCCTCCAAAGATGTTCGGTGTTCGTCAGATAGAACTTCAGTTTCACTGAATGTCAGGAGAAAGAGGCCGACATCATCTGCACTATCGGACCAAAATCCTGGGACCCCGAGGTGGGGAGCAGCATCAGAGCCTCAAAAAGACATAGGTGAATTGCAGGTGTGCAGAACATGGTTTAGCCTGCGTCGCGTGCCCTTTGGAGAAAGTTTGGAGGTTCTCGTGGAGCTCATGAAGGCAGGCATGAACGTCATCCGATGCAACATGTCCCACGGAGACCACGAGGAGACTGCAGCATTGGGCCTGAGTAATATACATCCGTTGCGGTTCGACACGATAGA